GTAGGGCCAGGACTCATTCCCAGGATTAAATCTTGCACTCCCATCCTCCCAGTCCCAGTCTTTTTCTCCCAGACAGCCCCAGCCTCCCATTTAGGCTCTTAAAAACAGCCAGACCAAGAGCCAGGCACGGGTAGCACGTGGGCAATCCCTCCTTGCCCTGCAGGAAGGACAAGCTGACCCAGCTGATTCTAGATGGATTTACAGAGCAGAAAACAGGTGAGATCCCTCATCTCATCCCAGGCTTTCTCACCTTCCCCCCAAATCTGGATTATTTCCAGGTGTCTCCCTTCTCCCTCTCTACAGTTTCTGGGCTGGTAAGAGATGCCAGGGGAAGGTTCCCCCACTGAGCCCACACCAGCTGGGAGAGGGGAGGTGGAACCTTGACTCTTCCCCTGCTGGACAGATGAACTATTCTGGGCTAAATTCAACAAATTTGCATCCTGGGGCTGAGATGTCCATTCCTCAGGTTCCTCCTCTGCTGCTTGTGTCTGCCTTGCTCCTTTATATTCCATTTTGTGACCAAGGTTTGGCCACTGGCCAATGTAACACCACAACAGGCCCCGAATTTGGCCACAGGAGGAGCAGCATCTTCCCCTCTCTCGGGCTGTGGGACCCAGAGTGGTGTATTTTCCCCTGACTCCTGCCACCCAAACCATTTCTCTACCATAAAAACAACCCAGCACTGCCTCCTGCTCTTGTTTCAGGGGTTCTCAGACAGCAAGAGGACGTTCCCCAGCCATTCCTGCTCCATTCCTGAAGCTTTGGCTGCACAGTCCTGCTCCTGGTTTTCCCTGGGAACCGCCAGACCAAGGTGGTTGGACATTTCCCACCCCACTCTGAGGCTGAGGGACCAGGTCCAACCCTCCCAGTGACCCTCAGCGCTGCCACCACCGTCCAGCATGTCCTGCAAACCTCAGGTCCAAGCAAGGACCTTCCCAGAACTGTCCCACATCCCAGGTTTCCCGTGGGGAAGCTTTCCCTGCCAGCACCCAGCGGTCCCAGCATCTCCTGGGACTGGAGCTGTTCCCAATCCCACATCCCTCCGGCCCAGCCTGTTCCTGTTTCAGGCCATGGGCTGATTCCCACAGGCTGGACTGAGCTGGGAGGAGAAGGAGCCCTGGATGGTGGTCAAAGCCACAGACACCGAGCCTGGCACCGGGGTGGGGTGTGTGTGGCTTCTGGACCAGGCCCAGCAGACTGAGGGTCTTTCACACGTCTGGCAGGCTCCACCTGGCACCAAGAGCTCCAGGAAAAACCTGGAACCTTCCACTCCCTCATCTCCAGGAGATTAATGAGGGAGAAAGTCTCCTCTGCTGTGTCAGCTGTGGCTCTGGGCTGACATCAGCCTGGGCTCTAATGGAGATGAATTGCCTGGAGCTGTCGGATCCGTGGGCTGTGGTCCCATCCCAGAGCCCTGCAGAGGACACTGACCCCATAGAAAGCCAGGGGGACTAAACCAGCAGCTCTTTCCTCAGGCACAGCCCTCCCACCCCTCAGCAGGAACTGGTCCCTCCTTGGAAACTTTATCCACCAAAACCACACCTGGAGGAGGGAAATTTGAGAGAGGGGGGTTGATGCAACAACACTGGATTGGCTCCTAATCCTAAGGATGGGAAGTACAAGCCACCTGGGTCATCCCAAAGCCTTGATCTCTGGTGAAGCAAGAGCACTGCCCACGGCTCTGCAGGTTCCAGCAGGTGCTGGGGGGTGGCAGGGCTGTGTTTCCACACAGGGAGCAGGTTGGGGTTACTTGGTTTGGGGAATTTTCAGTAATCCAGCAGAAGTGGAGGGACAGGACAAGGGGGGAATGGCTTCCCACTGCCAGAGGGCAGGGTTAGGTGGGATATTCGGGAGAAATTTCTCCCTGGCAGGGTGGGGAGGGGCTGGGATGGAATTCCCAGAGACACTGTGGCTGCCCCATCCCTGGAAAGTGTCCAAGGCCAGGTTGGAGCAACCTGGGCTAGTGAAAGCCCAGGGGATGGGACTGGTTGAGCTTTAAAGTCCTTTTCACCCCAAACCATTCCATGATTCTCCATAGCCCCCCTCTGACTCCCAAAAACAGCTCCTCTCTGACCAACCCAGGGCAGGATTTTGGGACCACTTGGAAAAGCCACCCCTCGACCCCCGATGGGAATCATCCCTGTGAGGGCTCAGGGCTGAGCTTAAACGAACTCCTAGACCCGAGGGGGTTAGTTTGGAATAAACAAACCCTTCGGGGGGCCTCAGAGACCCCTAGCCAGCTCCTTTCGTCCCTGCTGGATGTCCCCAAGGCTGGCAGGCAGGGTGACAGCCAGGCTGCGAGCAGGGAAGGCTTGGAGAGCTCAGGCTCCTTCCCCACGGCCAGACAAAGTGCTGACAAGTGTGACAAGGCGGGGAGGGGGCACAGCAGTTTGTGTGACACGGGGGGAAACGCTCCAGCCCTTGTTCCGTCTGGCCCCCGGTTATTAAACTCAGCTGCTCTGCCGCGGTTTGCAGCAATCCCGCTCCGAAATGAAGGTCAGAGCTAATTAAAAACTCATCTGCAGCTGCCTCGGGCAGGGAGAGGGGTGGGTGGGAAGAGTTGTGTCCCTGCAGTCCCTCTGTGATCTCCTCCAGGGCCACCCACACGCTGGAGGTGGGAGAACAGCTTGTCCTGCCCTCCTTCCTCCTCCTCCTCCTCCTCCTCCTCCTCCTCCTCCTCCGGAGCTGCTTCGGGAATGGGTTTGCACAAAACCCCTCAGGAAAGCAGAAAATGCTGCAGGGAGACGGGAGGGGCAATTCCAAGTGGGATTAGAGAGTGCCCGGAGGTGGGGGACGGAGCCCCAGGTCTGGGTCAGAAAGGCTGGGGAGGGTTTACGAGGCAGGAGATGGAGTTTTGGGACCTTCCACTGGGATCTCGCAGGGTTTGCACTCCAGCTGGGCCACGGGGAGTGTGTCCTGGTGGCCAGGAGGAGCAGGATGGAAGGTTATCCAGTGTGGCTTATCCCTAACTTCCCATTCCACACCCTCTCTTCCCATTCCATGTGGTCTGCACAAGGTGTCTGAGCTCTGTCCTGCACCTGCAGGGGATTCCTGCACTTTAAATCCTAAGGAATGGAGCTGGGGCAGGGGCAGGGAGAGAGGGAGGGAATAGGAAAGTTCTGGTGCTGCTTCCCAGGAATTAAGGAAGAGGAATTTAAGGGTGTTTCCCTCCCTTTGTGTCTGGTCAGGAGCAGAAATTGAGAAGCTCAAGTGACCAAAGCCAAACATGCCTGGAAGTGTCCAAGG